GGGTGCGTGACTCCACCCACTGCCTTCCCGCCTTCCCTGTTCCGGGTACGTGACTTAACAATGGCTTTGTTCAAACCGCCCAATCAGATCCCTGTAACTATGCTTCTCGCTTCTGTAATCGCTCTTCTTGCTCCCAAGCCCTATAAAAACCCGTCACCCCAACCGAGAGGCGCGCAAGTCTTCCGAAAGGCTTTGTCGCCCCGGGTACCCGTGTATCGAAATAAACCTCTTGCGGCTTGCATCCGAAGGCTGGTTTCGCTGTTCCTTGGGAAGCGGGGTCTCCCCATCTAGAGAGGCTCAACGGGAGTCTTTCAGGCTTATACTTTGGTACTCTCTAACAAGCTGCTTAGTTACAAATGTATGTGATCGTGTGAGGGTATTGGGAACATGTTTTTTTCTGTTTATACTCATTATAATCGTTCACTTAAAAGAAAAATAGAGGGCTGGAGAGATGGCTCAGAGGTTAAGGGCACTGCCTGCTCTTCCAGAAGTCCCGAGTTCAATTCCCAGCAACCACATGGTGGCTCACAACCATCTATAAGATCTAGTGTCTTCTCGTATGCAAGTGTATATGCAGATAGAACATTGTATACATAATAAATAAAATATATATTTAAAAAAAAGAATAGACTGTAACCACATTGTGACTTTTGTACTGCTTGATTATGCTGATATATAGGCTGAAGGAGAAAAAGCTGGAGCCCTCTGAAGTGTGCCCCATCCACTCAGGAAACGGTTAGAACTTGCAGGAACTTGCTTGAGCTTATTTTGTTTCATCCATTGTGCCCGCACGTATGCATGTCTTTTTTCTCCTTTTCTCTAGCTGCTGGCTACTCTAAGTAACAGCCCCACATGGGTTAATATCAGTTCCTGCCTGGAGAATCACGCTTTGTATCAGTTGCCAGGAACAAGCAGCAGGGGGCCCGCAGTCACTCTACACCCCACTTCAATTTACTGTGGTGTAGAAGCTGGGCCTTGGACGCCTTGCTTTTGTGCTTTCCAGATAAAATCTGTAGTATGTGCCAGACTACTGTTTTTACATTGGTCTGTCCTGAGAAAGTTCTGGGAAAGGGCTGCTCTGTTAATATTTGGTATGTGCTTACTGGCATTTATGTACATTTTTCTGATCATGTTTTTCTAAACCCAAACAACCTTTCTTGGATCATAGTTTTCTTTCATTCATGTATAAAAGTACCCGAGACTAAAGTAAGGTTGTCTATGCATTAGAATGTAGTCTGCTCCATTCTGTCCGGTCCTCAGATCCCAGGTCCAGCAAACGAGATTTGAAAAGGTTGGCAAAAGTCAACACTCTTTGTTGAAATGTGTAGCAAATGCTCCCACAATGCACTTGTTTTAAACTACAGACATCATTCATGACTCTAATCCAAAACATTTTATTGTTCTTTAAAAGGGAATGTGCACAGCTGCCCCTAGCCCTGAGCACAGCGCCGGCTGCAGGAGCATCTGTCTTGACGGCCTCTGCTTCTTTGTGTTCTCCTGGCCAGTCCCAAAGCCCAGCCGCAGCTGACAAGACTCACGCAGCAGTGCCTGCACCTGTGCACACACCATCTGAGCCCCAGTAATTCAAAGGTTACATGGTTACGCACATTTAAAATACATAGAAAAATAATAATTAGGATTTATACAAATTAGATTTTTACAAAACAATGTCACTCACTACAAGAAATACATCTTACATCCAAGGAAACATGGACATATGCATGTGGAAGTGAAGGTGAGAAAGACATTTATTTCAGAATGCCGGGTGGGGAGGCACGGGGGAGGGTCACGACTGCTCACGTGTGGCAGTTTGAATTTGCCAGCAGAAGCCCCACTGCCTGTCCAGCCTCTGCCCTGCTCCTCCAGGGCTCGCTCACACGGCTGTTCCTCTCTCCAGGTTCTGCTTGATCTCAGCAGTGTACTTCCCGTAGAACCTCTCTGCTTTCTTGTTGAACTTGGCGTTCCTCTCATTGATGTAGTCAATGTCAGCATCATCATTGTAAGGACGTCTTCGGCTGTATTTGTCTCGCTTTTCAATTCTGGGGAAAGAAAGAGTTATGAGGTTCAGAACCCCCCTCCTCAGATCTCTTCATGCTCATCCTCAAACAGCCACCCACCTCTGCCTCCCAAACCCTAGAACTAAGTGGGTTCACCACCTTCTGGTCTAAATGCCTTCTTTTCTGATCTTAATAAAACATGGACGAAAAGTTCAGGAGAAAATCAGCATCATTCATAATAAAACACCTTGGGGGGGGGGAAGGCAGGTGCAGGTTTCATGAGTTTCAGATGAAGACTAATTAATTAGTAGAACCTCAAGCAAACAGACTCTGTCACTGCATTTCTGAACATTTTTGTGGTAGCCCACACCTGTAATTCAAGCAATCAGGAGGCAGAGGACAGCCACTGTTGGAGACTAGCCTGGACTACATAATGAGGGCCTGTCTCAAAAATAGAAAAGATAAAGAATGCTTCTGAAGAGCAACGAGGCGCTGCTACTAGTAGGGACAAAGAAGTAACTTTGAGGAAAACACCCTAAAAAGCACTGGGCAGGGCGTGTACAAACCACTGTATGGCCTGCACGACCTAAATCATAAATGCATTCCCCGCTATCACAAATAAATATGGCCAGGCACTCGGGAAGCAGAGGCAGAAGGATCTCTGTGAGTCTGAGGTCAGTCTGGTATATATAGTGAAACTCTATCTCAAAATTAATTAAAATATAATAAATAAATATGGCCAGGTGGAGACACACACAATCTCAGTACTGCTTCAGTTCCAGCCCAGGCTGGGCTACAACACAAGGCCTCTGTTTTAAACACACAGACACAAAAAAACTAACTACAGTAGTTTGAATTGGAAACCTACCCCAGGTCTAGATAGTGAAGGCCTGGTCCCCAGATGACAGGGCTGATAGAAGGTGCTGGAACCTTTAAGAAGTGGGGCTTACTAAGTGGAAGTTGGGCCCTAGGGGTGTTCCCTTGAAAGGAATATTAGGACTCCACCTCTTCTCTATGCCAATCTGTCTGCTTCCTAGTCCTCATGAGGCAGTGGTCCCTAGCGATGAACTTCTGCCATGATCCACTGTGCTGCCACAGGCCCAAAGACAGTGGATTGAGATCTCTAAAATCATAAGCCAAAATACATTGTTTATCTTAGGCCTTTTGCTACATAAATGTTTGATACCATAACACTTTGATCCCACCAATATTCCTATTTCACTCCAAATGCTATGGGCTCAACTCATCCTTGCTGTCCAGCTTCAAAACCATCAGATTTAGGGTCAAAAATGAACTAGTATCCCTGCTATGCTCTTCTTCACGTCATGTGACAGCGTCAGCCTCAGATCTACATCCCATCCATTTTCTCTTGTCAAGCATGGAACATTCCAGGCTGCTCTGCTGAGTACTTACTGCTTTTCCAGGTCTAAAACCATTCTGTCAATCTCCTCTGAGGAAGGCACATGTGTCCCATGAAGAAGACTGTTGGATGTCGGGAAAAAATCTTCTCCACTGAAAAGACAGCAAGATGCATTTCCAGTCAGACCTTAGTATTCCAGTCAAATTTCAAACTATACTATCACTGGTGATGACAGACAACATTTAAACATACTTATTACACAGCAAAGGGAAAGGAAGAAAGCCAACACAGGCTCACAGAGATGAACCAGGCTGGGCGAGGACACCCGTAAGCCAGCCCCAGGCAGGACTCTGGGCCCCAAGCCAGCCTGGCTCACACAGTAACAGCTTCCTCCTTCAGACTGGTAAACAGTGACTAGTGATTGTTAAAGGAGTCTTCAAAGGTCAAAAGGAGTGAGCATGGAGGGGTTGGGGATTGGGGAGGGAGTTAGAGCTTCTAAGGTTATTTCTCTGGATCAAAACAGAAACCTGGCTGGGCTGGTGGTGCATGTCTGTAAGCCAAGCACTTGGAAGACAATCTCATACACGTGTCTAACAATCTGCTTACACCCACCTCCCTGGAATGGCCCTGCATATTACCCAAGGACTTACTACTTTTCTCTCTGTCGCTCGTAGCTTTCCATGTCAGGTTTGATCTGCTTGGTCAGCCGGTGGTACTGGCGTAATTGGGCAGCCGCATAATCTAGTAACAGGAGAACCAGAGGTGATCTTTGTCCTTATCTGGGCATTACTTACAAGAGAAAACTCGGAATTATTCTTCCCCTACATGCACAGGACACCAGGCTGGCACAGCTTCCACCCAGAACAGGCTGATGAAAGGCTGATCTGCTGGGGTGGTGGTACATCCCTGTACAACCACTCAGGAGGCTGAGGCAGGAGGACCCCGAGTTTGTAGACTGCCTGGGCTACACGGTAAGACTAAATAAAATGGCAACAACAACAAAGGATGGCTTCACACTACAGACCAGGCAGCCAGCAGACTGACGGGAGGGCCTGGGTTCTACCCTAACACACCCTGCATTCTCCTTGGCCTCCCAGAACATTCCATGAATGCAGCCTGATGGGCATGTGTGCTCACTAAAGCAGAAGCCGCAGTCCAATAGGCCTGCTCAGTAAGGCAGAAGCCAGCACAGCAGCTGTACCTGAAAACCCCAAGTCAGGGTTCTTCTTCTTCTTCCTCCTCTCCCACCGCTCCGCATCCTCCGCACTGATCTCCAGCAGTTTCACTTTCTCATAGTCTTCCCCTCTCGCCGCACACTCCTGAAAAGACATACAGCGCTACCCACCCTGCGACTCAGCACTCCCCTTCATTTTTTTTTTTTTTTGAGTCAAGGATGACCTCAAACTTAACGCAGTTTCGTTCCTCAACTTCCCAAGTTCTGGAACTATCAAGTAACAGGCCACCAAGGTGGCTGGGTAGGTAAAGGTCATGCTGCCGAGCACGCCCACCAGAGTTCTCTGTCAGGAGGCACGTGGTGGAGAGAACTGACTCCTAGTTGTCTTCTGACCTCTGCTCTTGTGCCCACACGAATAAAAAATAAAAGTGTAATGAAATTAAAATCCACAGCAGCAGAAGCAGGCAGGTGTTAGAACCTGTCTTAAGTATTTTGCAGATGTTAACACACAGAGTTCCTAGTGCATTCAAGTAACCGCTGTAGCCTTGTCTCACAGACAAGGAAAGAAAGGTACCCTGAGGCACATGATTTGCCCACCTACTCAGCTACCAGGCTCGCCTGCCTTGGTGGAGGGGGCAGCAGAGGCTTCCTAACCTTTTTCTTTTCTTCTTCCTGCAGCTCCCACTCCAAACGCGCTTTCTTGGCTTCCCAGTTTGCTGGCAACTTAAGTCTTTTGTCTTCTTCCACAACTTCCTGGTGATTTAACTTCCGAGCTTCATTCTAAAACCGTAACAGGAAAGTCCATCATATGAAGCAAGAGGGGGACTCAAACAAACCCTGTCTTCTCTGCAGTGACTAAGCGGCCCCATCTAATGTTGCAAGCAATAAAAAGCCAGCCAATGAGTTTAAGCCCAGGACTAGACTCAGAAGGTGTACCACTGAGCCATGAGGCTGCTGTGCTACACAGAGCCCTGCTGTTCCAGATCCCTGGGGCTACCATCACCCTTGCCTGTTCAGGTGGATGCTCCCTGAACAGAATAAAGGTTGGCAAAGTGCCCTCACTGTACCACACTACAGTACAGCAGCAATTTAAAAAATTGGGGGGGGGGGAAGGTGGCTCAGGGTTAAGAGTGCTGTCTGCTTATCTAGAGGTCCTGAGTTCAATTCCCAGCAGCAACAACGTGGTGGCTCACAACCATTTGTACTGGGATCTGATGCCCTCTTTTGGTATGCAGTTGTACATGCACATAGAGCCAGATAGAGCACTCATATATGTAAAACAAATAACTATATCTTAAAAAAATTAACTTTATTTAAAACCTTTTTTTTAATGAATGTATTTTATTTTATCTTATGAATGTGTGTAGGTCAGAGGTCAACTCCCAGACATCAGTTCTGTTCTTCCACCATGTAGGTTCTGGGGATCAAACTTAGGTCCTCAGGCTTAGCATAGCAAATGCTGTCACTGCTGAGCACTTTTTTTGGCCTGAAAGATGGTAGACTTTTAACCCATTTTCAAAAAAAAAAAGCCTCAGTTTGAATGTGGAGGGCCTCTTTATTTCTAATCCTTTCCTAGTCTCTCCTAGGTCAGTACTTCAGAAGGTTTCTCCATGACAAGGGAGAGGAACATCCACCTTAAGCGAGCTCTCTTTCAGAAAAACTCAACACTGCTGGCATTTTACATTTTGTTTTGTTTTTAAACCATGGTCTGATGTACTCCAGGCAAACCTCAATCTACCTATGTAGTCAAGGAGACTATGAACTTCCTAAGTACAGGAAGAGCAAAAGCAAGCCACCGTTCACAATTCTAAGGAAAATGTAAGTTAGATATAACTAAGGCCACAGGTTGGTGACATTTGGTCCAGGAAGCCAAGTCTCCCAAGCTCTGCACATGTTCTGTAAACATTCACTCTATAAGCCAATATTTAAGCATAATGATTACACTAACTTTCTCTGGACAGAAATATTTCTGGGATTGGAGCTTTGCTTAGCCTGGGAAGGCTGGTTTTGAATATTTCTTTACTGTGTGTGGGTGGTTCACAGGTGTGCGGATACACGTGTGTGCAGGTGTGCATGTATGTAAGGCCTAAGACTGATGTTGTGTGTATTCCTCAGTTGATCTCCACCCTACATACTGAGGCAAGGTCAGTCACTCAGAACTCAAAGGTTGTCTGGCTGATCACCAGCTTGCTCCAGGCATCCCCATCCCGCCTCTGCCTCCAGAGTGCTGGGATTAAAGGCAGACCACCACACCCACCTAGTGTCTATGGGGTACTGGGTGTCTGAACTCTGGCTTTGGCAAGTGCTTGATCCACTAAGCCTAGTTTTGACCCCGAGCATCTAAACAAGTGGTTCTCTACCTGCGGGTCGTGACCCCCACAAGGGTCACATATCAGATGTCCTGCACACCTGGCATTTACACTGTAATTCATAGCAGCAGCAAAATTACAGTCATAAAGCAGCAACAAACTAATTTCATGGTTGGGGATCACCATAACATGAGGAAGTGTATTAAGGGGTCGACGAATTAGGAAGGTTGAGAACCATTGTTTACACTGTAAATGTTCAGAGGTGTGCTGGATCATTTGTTTGTTCTGCCTTATATTCTTGAAGGCTCCAAGACCATTTTTTGAAAAACAGTTCTTCTGAGCCAGCAAGATGGCTCAGTGGGTAAGGGTGATTATCACATATCCAGATGACTTCAATCCCTGGAACTCACAGGAGGGAAGGAGAAAGCTGGCTCACAAAGACACAAATAATATAAAATTATATTATAAAAATGTAATAAAAAATTTTTTTCGTATTTCTGTGTATGCATGTACGCACATGCCTCAACCACACGTGGCAGTCAAGGGACAAGTTTGTGAAGTTGGTTCTCTCCTTCAACTTTTACCTGAGCTCCAGAGATCAAATTCAGGTGGTCAGGCTTGCATAACAAGCGCCTCTAACCACTTAGTCATCTCACCAGCCTAAGGACCATTTTATTAGAGTTCAAGAGAAAGAAACAAAACAAAACAGGTCAAGCAAGTTGTACATCTCAGCAGGCGCCTAGAGAGGGGATGGAGATGTAGCCAGGCCTTTTAAATTACATTTCAAGAAACCAAGTAGGTTCAGCAAAGGGGTCAGGGAGCCAAGCAGTCACATGGGGAAGTGAGGGGCCTTGTCTCCAGAGAAAGAATGATAATGTCCAGAGTGTCCTAAGCAGCCCTTCTTAGGATTTCGGTGGCTATCCATAGGAAAGATGGAAAATAAGTTACACATTTTCGAATTTGAACTCGGGAAAAATGGCCAGTGTGTGCTCGCTGTTTTTAAGGTGAGGAAGGTCTTACTGAGAAGTTTCTTCCTATTACCTGGCGACATACTGCCCGGGATGAAAACGAAGAATTTGTTAGACTCCTGGAGCGGACCTAACCTACCCCAATCATGTGGGCGGGCCGTCTGGAGCAGAGGGTGTGGCTTTGGACGTGTGTCAAAGAGATGTGGAGTCCTCCGGGTCCCGGTCCTCCTTCCTCCTCCAGCCCCGCGCCCGGCCAGGCCCGCGTCCCCGCCACTTACCCGCTTCAGATGCAGCTCACGGAACTTGCGCAGCCTCTGCTCGCGCTTCTGCGCCGCCAGCTCCTCGGCCGCCGACGTCTTGTCCTCCGCGCCGTCCGCGGGCACCTGCGGTCACACCCGGCTTCAGGCCCGGCCACAGCCCCGACGGCCGGGTCTCCCCGGTAGCCGCGCCCGGATTCGTCCCCCGTCCCGCCCCGCCCGGCGTCTCCCCGACAGACCCCTGCGCGAGGCCGCTGGTACTCACCACAACTTCACTCGCAGCCGCCATGACAGCCTTCTCGCTACTTCCGGCAACAACACGGAGCACTTCCGGCGGCCCGTAGCCCGCGAGCCACGCCTCCTCCGTACGGCGTTAGATTCTTCCGGCCCGCCCTGCCTTCCGGAGGCGAAGCGTAGTCCTGCGCAGGCGCAGATTGTGCGCGCAAAGACCGGAGTAGGCGAGGCGGCTGGGCCTGGGTGAGGAAGCGCTCGGAATGCGTCACTTGGAACGGAATGCCCGGAAGGTGCCTGCTTGGCGATGGTGTGGCCTCGGTCACCAGCTCTGAAGTCCCTTTCCTCACGTAGGCAGTGAGTGCCATCCGCATTGTCTCTCCCATAGAGCAGATCATTTTTCCTGGTGTTATTTACTGGAGGAGAGGAGGGCTGGCTCAAAGTCCCCTCTCATATCCCAGTACCACAGAAACTACTAAAGTCACTAAGGTAATGCAGGAATACAACAGGGATATATGAAAGGTGTTCCTTTCTTTCTTCTCTTTTCTTTTTCTTGGTTTGTGTGTAGCCCTGGTTATCCTGGAACTCACTTTGTAGCCCAGGCTTCCCTCAAACTCACAGATCCTCCAGCTTCTGCCTCCCAAGTGCTGGGATTAAAGGCGTGCGACACCATGCTGGGCTGAAACGTGTTTCTTTGTAATCCAACAACTACTAATTAAATGTAGAAATGAAAAAGGCATTGCTCCAGTGTAACACCATCTGGGTAAAAATGAGCTGTGGAATCCCAGCAGGTGGAGCCAGGAGAATACCTCTAGGCTAGCCAGTGCTACAAGGCATAACCCTTTATTTCAAGCAAACAAAAAAGGGTTATCGAAATTAAAAGCTTAAAGAGTAACAAGAAAAAAAAAAAAAAAAAAAAGCAAATTTAGGGCAACTCCCTTTTGAGTCCCCTCCCTTGTAAGGAGCTGCTTCTCAAGCACAATTAAACTTTGCTTGCTCTTCTAAAACAAGCTTAAAAAAAAAAATTAAAAAGTAAAATGAAAGCTGTGAAAGAAAAAGTATGGGCTCAGGACCCCCAAAACCAAGTTCTTAGCACAAAGGAGATTTGCCCCAGGGCAGAGGGCACAGATAAGGGACAAATACAGGAGATGAGGGAGAAGCAGAAGGAAACAAAGGAGGAGTAAGATATAAAAAAAATAATAATACATATCCAGCTGGGTGTGGTGGTGCACGACTTTCATCACAGAGGCAGAGGCAGGCAGATCTCTGTGAGTTTGAGGCCAGCCTGGTCTACAAAGCGAGTCAAAGACAGCCAGGACTACACAGGGAAACCCTGTCTGAAAAAAACAAAACCAAAAAAACCAAAGATGTTGGTATTTGTCCCCAGGGAACAAAAGGGTAAATTACAATTTATAAAGGGTGTTAATTAGGTGAGCCGAAGGGGCCTTTTGATTGCTGGGCTCCCATATTTTGATAGCTGGACGCTGGTAGGAAGCCAACATAAGGGATTAGACATTGGTCAGCTTTAGAAATGTAATCTAACGGCTTTTAGCAAAGCAGAAGGAATGGAAAGGCCAGGCCTGTCAGAGCCATGTTCACCACACTTGGCCTGGCCAGAGTCCCTCACAAGCTAGGCATGCTGCCCTAATCCTGTGAGCTACACCTCGGTCTGGTCTACACAGTGAGTTCTAAGCCAGGTAACACACTGAGATTGTCTCAAAAATAAAAAGCACCTGGATGGTGGCGGCACACACCTTTAATCCCAGCACTGGGGAGATCTCCGAGTTCGCCGAGTTCGAGGCCAGCCTGGTCTACAGTTCTAGGACAGCCAAGGCTACACAGAGAAACCCTGTCACAAAAAGTAAATAAGTGAATAGAAATAAAAATAGAACATAAAAGCACAAATTTAAATCTGAATAAGATATAAACTATTTTCTGGTTGGAAAACTTTCACCAAAACACATGAAGTATTTCTTTTTTTTTTTTTTTTCCAGAGCTGAGGACCGAACCCAGGGCCTTTACCACTGAGCTAAATCCCCAACCCCCACATGAAGTATTTCAAATGAGTGTTTGTGAATGTATTCCCATCTGAATCCCAGGGCAGTTTTTTCTTTCTTTTTCATTGTTCTTTTGCTTGTTTTCGGGATTTTGTTTGGTTGGGTTTTTGTTTGGTTGGGTTGTGTCATCTGACCTCTGTGGGCACCACACATGCAGGTGGAGTCTATACACATGCAGGCAAAGCGCCCACGTTTAAGAATAGTCCACAACTTCCTTAGTCCTTTAGAAGCACTATTACCCGCCCCCCATTAACATGTCATTTGCTGTTTTGTGGGGAGTTTGTGTGATACTGGGGACAACCCATGTGCTCTTCCCCAGCCCCAAGTGTCTGAACTCACTAGAATAGGTTGGCCTCAAACTCAGAGATCCGCTTGCACCACCACCACCTGGCTTCAAGTAACATTCTTAACCTAGATGTGAAATACACTGTTTTACTCTTAAGTAGCAACAGGTTCCTCAGTCTATTCAGTTGCCTTAAGAATGTGATGAAAAGCCACAGTGATAGCTGTGGCCAGGAATAGCAATTCTAGATCATTGTGTATTTAAAATTCTCAAGGTCACTGTCCAATTGGATGCAGGTGATAGTATTTATAAGATATACTATGTATGCATCAGCAGAGGTGGAGACTGACCTTAATCAGGCCTGTGATGGAGCTCCATAAACTAAAGTCAGGGTTCCCAGCTCTCTTGGGTTATACCTCCCAGGGTATAACCATAAACCCTGTCAAGCTTGGTTCTCAACCCTGGTCTAGTAACTAATTTGTACCCTTCATAAGCTTTAAGTTATGTATTGGCAAACTATCAGGGTAAGTCAAGTTGAACCTGTTCAAATTTTGATACTGGCAACTGGAGGGGGTTGGGCTTGTTTTTAACAGGGTCTCACTGTCCTAGAACTGTCAACTAGGCTGGCCTTAACTCCAAGATCTACCTGTACTTGTCACCTCTGAAATGCTATAATGAAAAGCATAAACTACAATTTCCAACTAACTTTTTCAGGGTTTCTCTGAAACCCTGATAACTTTGGCTGTCCTGGACTCGCTTCGTAGACAAGGTACCTCCCAAGTGCTGGGGCTACTAAAGTCTTAATGGCTTTCAGACTTTTTCTTTCAATGTTTTATGTGTATGGTTTGCCCACACGTATGTCAGTGCACCCCATGCAACAAGAGGATGTTGGAGGTCCTGCAATTGGAGACAGCTGTGAATCTTACTGGGGTGTTCAAATCCAACCTGGGTCCACTGAGAGAGTAGCCAGCACTTAAACCACTGAGCCATCTCTACAGCTGTAGCAAGTCTTTCCTACTAACCCCCATACTCCCTACTGCTCTCAGGTTATACTTAAGGACACCTAGCACTGAGGCCGAGGTAGGCGCATTTCTGAGTTTAATTCAGGACAGCTGATCTACAAGTGAGCTGTCAGTAAGGGGTACATACACAGCCTCCCCAAACCACCACACAGTCATCATGGGAGTCCTGTCTTGTCTGTTTTCAGAAAGGTTTCTTCCTCAGATGTAGACCCATTCAACAGCCAGAAAATCAAGACAAATAAGTTTATTAACAAATATACAAAATATACAGTATACAACTGTGTCTTACAAAATTCAACTTTGTATAGAAGAGATATGTACAATACTTACAGGTATATACAAGACTCCCACCTGTATGGAATTCTCTCGGTCATCTGTGTTCTCAAATCTTCAGGAGAAACCTCAACCATGAACATTTCACCATTAAACATTTTTCTGTAATGGACTTTAATCACAACATCTACTGCTGTGATTACTCAAGATGAGCTAATGCTGGACACAAAAACTCTCAATAAAGTGCAATTTTAGGCAACCCTCAGCCCCTTTAGTTTTTCTTTAGACAGGTATCCACAGTCCATAAGGACTTTTTTTCTTATCTATTTTTGGTGATCCTGAGGATGTCTCTTCAGCAGCAGCTTTAGCTGTTTTCTGTACTGGCTTTGCTACAGAATTCTGTAAAAAAATAAATTGAAGTCAACTTACTACAGATATTATCAACACACATACACAAAGCGTACATGAGAAAATAACACCCTAGACCCAATCTTCAAGAAAAATTGTTTGGGTTCACTTACGTTAGAGCTGAAGACTATGTTTCTTTGTGTTGAAGATTTTTCACTGGGATTTTTAGATCCATCTTCAGTCTGCTTTTCTGAATGCTAGAGAAAAGAATTTTAAACATAGCCTTAATTTTTCAGATATTGTATTTAAAACCAGCCCAATTTTCACAAATGGAGCTGTACATACAAAAACCAAATTCCAAACAGATCACAGTTAAGCTAAATAACAAAAACCTCATTTTCCACTTAGTAAGATTTAGAGATAAGACAGTTCCCCCACGAATACCTGATTTCTGTTGCTGATACAAGCCATTTGAGCAAATGCAATTAAAAAAAATGCTTTGTGTAAGAAAGTGAGGCATTTGCAATAGACACGTCAGTCAATCAAGGAGCTCCTTTTAGGTGCTTGCCTGAGCAAATTACTAGGCAGCTCCCCACCACCCCAGGTCCCAGCAATAGACAAACCATCTTCATTGTACTGCTATTATCTTTTTTGGGTTTTTTGGTTTGTTTCTGTGTAGCCTTGGCTGTCCTGGACTCGCTTTGTAGCCCAGGCTGGCCTCCAACTCACAGCAATCCACCTGCCTCTGCCTCCCAGAGTTCTGGGATTACCACTGCTCAATGTCAACATGAACGTTTACCTTAAATTTCTATAAAGCAATTCTTTGAGACCAAGTCTCTTGTATCTATCACGTGGCTGTCCAAGGAAGACCTTGAACAATCCTGTCTCCCAAGCACTGGGAACTAACTCCAGGTATTGTGCACCCTAGACAGGCTCTCTACCAACTGAGCTACATTCCCAGCCCAATTATTTTTAGTTCCAGGTTTCACATATAGTAATTTAGGAGTAAGATGCAATGTGCCAACGCACATCCTTTGTAGTTCTGGAGAGTCGTAATAACTTATCTGCAAGTGAAGCAGGCCTCTTCTTCTGTAATCTCTCAAAACATCTGGAATATATTGCATATATTATGAGAGGGACATCTAGATCACAGATGCCCCAACATCACACAGTGTATCTAGGCTGAATTGCCAAACTGCCTTACACAAAGAGTTCCTAGCCCAAAACTCTAGCATGCACATGGACTACCTTCAACAAAAACTAAGCTTATTAACTGACACTTTAACCCATGGATCAATTACCAACAGATTTTCTTCATCACTGTCTGGAGACCACATTCATGATTTCTATAAGACAGAAATAAAGCAGATAAACTATACTGTATGCTGAGCAGACTTCTGGGAACATAATGCTACTAAATTCTAGTAAATGAAAGCTACTAGAGAACACTCCAGTGTCTAAAGAAAGAGTAAGAAAAGACAAAGTATTACCAATAATATGCTCAGTGTTTTTACTGTCATGGAAAAAACAAACCAAGTGTCAAAATGAAAGCAAGTTCATCACCTCCCAGTTTCACATGAGACTGTCTACTTTTTGCCAGATTAAGATCAGTTTTGTTCTGGGCAAATGATATAAAGACATCCCAGGAGGGCTGTGTATGGTAAACTGACAACAGGGTAAAGGGTTCTGCCAGCAGTAGCTTCCTGACGGTACTTACCTCCATCTTTGCACCACCGCTTGAAACAGCTGTTTCCTTCACTACACTTCGGAGACTCGCTGGCAAGTCAAAGTTGGCTGTTCCTAGAGCTTTTGCTGCGTTGGCTTTTGCTATTTCTAGCAGCTCCATTCGATCTAAAGACATGAAGACATTCATCATCCTCTAGGTGGCTTTTCTAAAACATTACTTTCCTTCCGTGTAAAGCATTTATGGAAAATAAAACTTCTAATTTTATGTTGGGGTGGGGGGGAAAGCAAATTCCTAAATAACTTCAAAAAATGAGTTTTGTTTTGACAAACGGAACTATTCTTTTTGTTCAAGTGTTTATTTTTGTCAACTACCGGACTTGTTAACTTTACAAGGCCAGTTGTCTCTACTAATCTTAATACGGTAGACCCACATCAAACTTTAGTATTTCCCAACACCAAATTACTTTGTCACTTGATAGAAAACTGCACAAAGGCCAATTTTTTAAGTAAACCATCTAAAAGTGTTTCGAGTTCTTCCCACCTTAAACGAAAAAGCCTGTAATAAGAACAGCCAGCTGTTCTTAGCCAGCTGCTAAAAGAGAGTGAGACCCCTCTCTTTGGGCCAATGAGACCATAAATGGCCTTTAGTTCTGTTTGCTGTTATCAGATAGGCCTTGACCTTTATTCTTAAGGCGAAAAAAACCTGTGTCTACCTATGCACCAACTAAAACCCCTCTCCCTTTAAGAAACCTCAAGATTTCTGGCACCCAAATAAGCACGCTGAACAAGCGCCCGGGTGAGGGGCTGGCTGGCTAGCTCGTTAACATGTCCCGGGCTTGATCTTCACAAACCCAAGATAAGCCGCTCGATCATCTGACTCCCTGGCCCGGCCGTAGCCGCCTTGAGTTCACCCGGAAGACTAAAAGCGCTCGCGGCCGCGGCACCAACACCCACCTTTCTCACTTAAGCGGAAGGGGGTTCCGCTCCTGCTGCGAGACCTGGTTCTGGACCTTTCCCTCCACCTGGGGCGATCCTCCGGGTACACGGTGCGGCCGAAGCCGTAGTAGCGCCGGCCGCGCGTGATCGCGTAGTAGGACCTCCGGTGGTGAGACCTCCCGCGGGAGCGCGACCTGCTCCGGGACCGGTAGGGCAAGGGCGACTGGTAGTGCCTCCGCGGACGCCCGTAATAGCCGTCTCGGTAGGCGCGGCGGCCGCGGGAGCGCGACCGGCTGCGCGAGTACGACCGCGAGTAGCGCCTGTACTTGCGCTGGTGGCGCCGGCGGGAGCGGGAGCGTCGGCTCCGCCGCGGCCGGCTGCGGCTGCGCGACGACGAGCGGCTGGAGCTGCGGGAGGCGGGTCCGGAGCTGCGGGACGACGAGCGGCTGCGGGACCGCGACGACAGGCGGCTGGAGCGGCCCGAGCCCGAGGCGGACGGCGAGGCCTTCTCCTGCGGAGAGCCGGGCCACATGTCGTTCACGTACTTGGACACGGCGGCCGCGGACATGGCTTCCTCCCTCGGGACTGGGCTCCTTCCGCAATCGCCAACGGCGTCTAGGAACGACGGCGACGGGCAGGGGTCAGGGCCGGCGGCGGGCGCGCGCGCGCGAGCCCGTCCCCCCGCCGATCGCCGCCCGCCAACCGACTCACCTCTCCCTGGCGACGCGCTCGCGATGGCGAGAGGGACAGGCCTGGCGGGCACCTTCCTCTCAGAACCGGGACCGAAGGTGGCGGGCTTCCAGGCTCCGCGGGCCAGACAGCGGCGCACAACCTGCCCCTCCGGACTCCAGACGCGAACTGAGCCCGAAGGCAACGTCAGCGTCGAAAATACTAGAAGCCAGCGCGGAGCATGCGCACATCCAGCAGCGCGGTGGGGCGGGCTCTCTTCTCGTCCAATCACAACGCGAGATGGGCGCCGCCTTCGACATACGCATGCGCATCAAGGCCTACGCGCCGCCCCTCCCCCCCTACAGCCACCCCAACCCGGCCTTCTACATCCGGGTATTTTGAGGATTTGTTGTTTTCGGGGGTTTTTGTTTGTGTGTTTGTTTCGGGGTCGTTAGTTGGTGGATTTGGGGTTTCTGAGACAGGAACTAACTGTGCCTTTCAGCCAGGTCTCGAACTTTCGGTAATCCTGCGGCGCCACACCCAACCTCGTTTTTCTTTGTTGTTGTTTTGTTTTTGTATTGCTCGCTTCACTTTGCTGTTTTCGATTTTGTAATTCGTGGAAAGGCGGAATCACAGGCAATTTAGCGGGCTCAACAGCTGGATCGAGGTCGCTGAGGACCACGGCGACCTGCCCAGCGCCTTTCCCCGCCTCCTTCTGATTGCCCTTCACCCGGCCTCCTGCGGTGGAGCTGGGAGAGGCCATCACAGCGCCCCGGAAATGCAGTTTTAATCTAGAAAGGCTCCTTTTTAACTTGCTGGTTTGAGCTGACAAAGGTCAATGAGGCTGAGACGTGAATTCCAACGACCACGGTAAATCTTGGAGGAGTAAGAGTGACGGCTGATAGCTCTTTTCTCTGTATAGCCCTAGATGTCCTGGAACTCCCTTTGTAAACCAGGCTGGCCTTAAACTCGGACATTCACCTGCCTCTGCTGCCTGGCCAGCAAGTGCTCTTAATAGCCATTTCCCATATTTCCAGAGCAAATTCCAAACATTCGTTGTCAAAAAGCGTAACAGTGACCTTGAAAATTGTGGATAAGTGAAAAAGTATTGGATGGGATACCTTTTTCAATATAGAGAGTTAAGCAGGGTTTTACAAAAGCTGTGGGTTTGGGAGGTGAAAGAAATAATGACTCCTTTCGTTTGTGTCTCCTTTCCACTTCCCCAATATAAAGAGAAATTGAAATAAAAACCTTATGGATGTTGGGGTGCAGAGGTAGCCACACAAGCCACTCAGACACCGATCTCAGTTAGATATGGATGGTTTTAATGAAGGCAACACCCCAAGACTGACCACTGACTATGGTCAGGGCACAGTGGACTCGTAAGCCAAACTATGACATTGTCTTTTGGACTTAGCTAATAAAGGCAAAAACCACAGTTAGCTCAGGTGCGGGCTGGTGGGGACAATGGAACAGGCGAGTCATCTCTGACTCAAGTTATTTTTGTTAATTAGACAAAGCTAGGTCTAGCTAACCTTGAGAGTGTGCCTGGCAGCTGGGGCTAGCTGTGCTTATGGTTGGGGAATTTCTGGGAGTAGGGAGGCCATACAGTATGCTGATCATAAACAAAGTTTTTGATCAACCTGACATTGCACAGGGAGCTTTTCCCCATATCAGCATCAAACTGAAACGATGTGCTGTTAGGCCTGAAATAGAAATGGCTATAATTATGCTACCCAAAAGGAGCAGGCCTCATCGCGGGGGGGGGGGGAGGCAGCAAAATGGCTCAAGTAGTAAAAATGCCTGTGGTGCAACGCTAACAATTTGAGTTTGATCCCACCCAAACTGGAAGGAAAGAACTGACTCCCAAAAGTTATTCTCTGACCTCCAGAAGCCCTCACACACATCCCATACAGCAACAGTAAGGATTCTCAAACTACAGGAACTAGAGAAATTGCTCAGCAGTAGAGAACACTGATTCCCAGTACCCACATGATGGCTCCCATCCACCTAGAATTCCATTCCCAGGGATGAGCAACACCCAGCAACACATACACACACACTCACACACAGTGCAAACATGGATGCAGGCAAAATGTGACAAGACCCCAGACCTTAGCACAACTGACTCCATAATGGAAATGCCATTCTGGCAGTACAACTCAGCACATAGAGACACCACCACCAGCCAAAACAAAAACAGACCTAATCTGTCAAAGTCAGCAGGTCTGGGAAAGTCTCTAAATTTTAACCTTGTTTTCTGTCTTCTGTAGTTCTGCTTCTGGCCAACTGTTCTTGTATACTGAAGTATGTCAACCCAGAATATTTTTTGTGCTTAAAGGCTCACCCTGATAAAGTCTCAGGATTACCTTGGAATCCCAAACACCCATCGTAGTTGATGGTCGGCTAATAAAGATTTTCTGTCAGTCTAAACCCATATCTGAGTACCGATACCCATAAATTAAGACCCTTACCAGGCTGTGGCATAGAATCCAGTACCCACCCCAGTTCTTAGGGAACTTTTTTCCCCTCATGGTGATAACTGTTGCCTGTAATCCCAACTTAGGCAGAGGCAGGAGGATTTTCTGGATGCTCCTTAAAGTCCACCAGGAACATCTGACTATTCTCAGGAAGCTGTGTGGGCACACAGAAACCTCAGTTTCACCATTTACAAATGGACAAGTGTGGGAGGGAGAATTAGTGAAACTGCTTACTCTGCACTCCTAGGCTTCTGCTTATGAGTTGGAAGAGACTGTAGGAGTCTTTGCAGACAATTCATGCTATCTGCCAAGTGTGTCCCTGAAAAACTGGAACTCCCAGACATGGTGACATAGAGCTGTAAACCCAGGACTTGGGAGGTACAAATAGGAGAATCAGAATTTTAAGTCATAGTGAGCTTAAAGCCAGCCTGGGAGTCATTAGACTACATCACAAAAGAATTATTTAGACTAATTCTGGAAGTCAACAGGGTTTTGAAACAGTGGGAAACAGGGCTCTCCCCTCAAAGAATGCTGGTGTCTTTTTCTTTCAGCTATAACTGGCTGGAGTTAAAGCTGCTGGTGTTACTGTTGTCATACCCGAGGCATCAAAAGCCAGAGATGAAGCAGATTGAGTAGATCTGTTCAGAGACCTCCACACAAGGATCCTTGACTTTACTTCAGGAAAGAGCTTCAGGTGGAGCCAATTTGAAGGGGAGATGGAGTTTATGAAAGGGATTTAAGTGTGATAGTTGCTAGGCAACCAGGAAAAGGATGCGACACACCCAAGAGAAAAGGTACACTACAGTCTTTACCAAGCCCAGTTGGGGGAGGGAGGTTGAAGTGTTGCTACAGAGTTGCCTAGGCAGTTAATCATCCCTCCCCCCCTTGATTCAGCCAGGGGGGATCTCTGTGAGTTCAAGGCCAGTCTGGTTCAAAAAGTGAGTTCCAAGACAGCCTGGGATACTTATGGTTTCATTATTGTTTGTTTGTTTGTTTTTTGAGACAGGGTTTCTCTGTGAAATAATGAGAGGACCATGCCTAACCCCTCCCCCAACGCACAAAATAAAGACATCAGTCCCAGGAACTAGGCCATAGATCACCAGTTCCAGGAATAAGAAAACCATAAAATTCCCTACCCAAGGAATAGCCTAGAGGTAATCACAAGAATGGGAAGCTATCTTATCTCAGGGTGGGACATTTGTGCTGAGCAGCCCACCAACCTAACATGCCTGAGGTCTATAGATAGCTTGCTCAAAGTTAGTAACAAGCTTGTCCTTGCTGAATGTCATCCAATCTTGTAACTGCTAAGCCAGGAATACCCAGGTCTTGCTCAAACCCCAATAAAAACCCTCCCAGGCAGCTGCTCAGGGTTCTTCTGGATGATCCACTGCATTGGTGATGGTGGAGAGACTGAGCTTAAGTTGGAATAAAGCTCTTTGCTCTTGCATATGTGGTCCGGCTCCTGGTGGTCTTTGGGGTCCTTAAGAGCTGGGCCTAACAATAGCACTGGCTGGTAGACCAGGCTGGCCAGGGCTACTTTTGTAAGTCAGAGAAACCTTGTCTTACAAAACAAAATTAAAAAAATCACTTGCTGCTTTTCCAAAGGACCAAATTTCAGTTCCCAGCACCCACATGGTGGCTCAAAAACATCTGTAACTTGAGTTTCGGGAGATCAGACACCTGACCTATGAGGACACCAGACTCATATTTTTCTTTACTTTTTTTTTTCTTTCTAGGTTTCTCAAATAGGGTTTCTCCACTGGTTAGCAGTGGCACACGCCTTTAATTCCAGTGCTCAGAGTCAGAGAAAGGCCAATCTCTGTGAGTTTGAGGCCAGCCTGGTCTATGAAGTGAGTTTCAGGAAAGCCAAGTTTACACAGAAAAACTCTGCCTCCAAACAAGCAAACAGGCCAGGGTTTCTCTGTGTAACCTGGCTGTCCTGGAACTCACTGTGGACCAGGCTAACCTCCAATTCAGAGTTGCCTCTGACTCCTGAGTGCTGGAATTAAAGGCATGCTCCCCCACACCTGGCTCAGACACACATTTTTAATTAGAAAAAGAGAGACAGAGTCTCACATTGAAGCATAGGGTGTTCTGAACGGTTTTGTAGTTCAGGCTGGTCTCAAACTCACGTCAAGACACCTGCCATTATAAGTGCACTATGTCAGAAGCACAGATGGACACAATTAGGCCTTTGCAGCCTGTCAGAACTGTTTGAGTAACAGTACACTCACAAGCTATGTGTTTCATTAGCAGCAACTTGCCAAGTATCAACTGAGCTATCATAAACACAGGCTCTTTTATGCCAATTTTTCTTTCTTTTTGTTTGTTTGTTTTGACACAGGTTTTTCTTCAGGTAGCTCTGGCTTTCTTGGAACCCACTCTGTAGACCAAGATGGCCTTGAACTCAGAGATCTGCCTGCCTCTATCTCCCAAGTGAAGGGATCAAAAGAGGTGCACCATCTTCATGCAAATCTTAACTACTAATATTAACTCTCGGTCATACAGCACACAGTAAATCTCTCTGTGTGTATATGTAGGTTAGAGAATGCCCACGGAGGGCTAAAGAGGTCATAGCTGCGTCCCCGGCATTTGAGAGACACCAAAAGAGAGACAAGCAGAAGGCTGAGGCAGAGAACATCTCTGTGGGGATAAGATAATAAAACCCTGTTGAGGTCTGCTGAAGCTGTTGGCTCCCTGCTGGGCGGAGCTCACAGCCAAAGGCCCCAAGTCAGGGTGCAGGACTGTTGAGGCCCCTGAGGCAGTGGAGGTGGAAAAAAAAAAAGCAGGAGGGGTCCAGACCCACGACAGAAGTACACAGATGGATGACAATTCTAATACCCCTACCTCAACAGCAGGGACGGCCAAGTGGAGCTAAAACTAGTTTTCGGACATTCCAAAGAGGATTTTTAACTGCTAGTCACAAGAATGCTAGACAAACACAGAAATGGGCAGTGAGTGGCTCTTTGGAGGCCTATTTAGCCCAGAATAATTTGGCACTGGACCTGCTACATTCCATCTGCCATGTCAGGCTTGTAGAGTGTTTGACCTATGTGTATCTCTCTCTCTCTCTCTGCAGATCACAGCTTCCTTCATAGTCTTATGAAATACCATGTGTAGGGACTGAGCTCCTTCAGTTGCATTGGTCTGCATAACAGAATGAGCAGTGTCCCCCAAAGTCTTGGGCATGCGACTGTTTGGTCCCCAGTTTGGGGAGGTTTAGGTGGTTCAGCCTTGCTGGAGAAAGTATGTGAGTGGGGGTGGAGCATGAGATTCCAAAGCCTTGCCCCGTCCCAAGTTCTCCGGCTCTGCCTCATGCCAGTGATGGAAGACGTATGCCCTCAGCTTCCTGCTCAGGCCACCATGGCTGCCAGCTGCTGTGCCACCTCCCTGCCCACACTCATAATGGACTCTTCCCTCTCAAACTATAAGCCAAATAATCTTTCTTCTATGAGTTGCTTTGATTGTTGCTGGTACCACAGCAACAGCAAAATAAAGAAAACAGCCATTAAAGAAGGAGAGACAGCACAAAGGAAAAGGGGTGTTGATGCTTTCCTAATTCTTAATAAGCTTCATAGCTTTAAGAGCTGGTGACTAAATCTAAAGGTCCATGTCTTCCATAGACATTTTAAAAGTTTCACTAAGATCTGCCTTTGGAGCCCGGCTGTGGTGGTCCATGCCTTTTTATCTTAGCACTTGGGAGGCAGAGGCAGATGGATCTCTGAGTTAGAGGACATCCTGGTTTAGAGAGTGAGTTCCAGGACAGCCAAAGCTACACAGAGAAGCCCTGTCTCAAAAACACAACAAGAAAAAAGATCTGGGCTAGGTGATGATGGCTCACAACTTTAATCCCAGCACTCAGGAGGCAGAGTCAAGCAGATGTCTGTGAGTTGGAGGCCAGCCTGGAAACACTATATGGAAGAAAAAAAAAAAAAGACATCTGCCTTGAGACCTGGGGCTGTGGCTCAGTGGTAGAGTGTCAATCAAGTCAGCATGTGGAGGTCCAGAGTAGTAAAACCCTGGGCGGAGACATAGATAAATAAAATCAGACAGACAGAGGTAGAGAGAGAAACTGCCTAACCTAGACTCCCCTGCTTTGAGACGGCAACCAGCCATTAGCCAGTAACGATAAACCTTCCATTTAAGGGTTAAGAAATGTTCATTTAAAAAACAGGTCATGGAGGAAAGATGTCTGTGGTTAAGAGCGCTGGCTGGTCCCTCCGAAGACTCAGGTTCAATCCCCAGCACCCACATGGCCACTCACAGTGGCTGTAATTCCAGTTCCCGGCACCTTTTCTGGCCTCCACCAGCACCAGGCACGAAAGCGGTGCACAGATGTACACGCAAGCAAAATACTCATCATATGTATGTAACTGGAGAGAGATGGAGCTAGAACCAGGACTGAGTAGTAGAGAGCTGGGTTTCCAGCCCAGCACTGCGGTGTTGGGGGTGTGGAGAGGCTGCATAGTTCAATATACTAATCAGGTAATAGCTACATATTTTGCTGCATCAAAGGAAAAGGCAGGCGACTGGAGAGACGCTCCCTAGCGCCTAGTTCTGCAAGGCAGTGAGTCCCACCGTCACCTTCAGCCACCGGGGCCGACTCTACCTGCCACCCACGCGGAGCAGGCCAGCCCCAACCTCATTAAAGTCACCGTGGGGCTGGGAAACGACTGACATAAAAGCACTTGCTGTTAAGTCAGGGAACCTGAGTTTTGTTCTCGGGGCCCACATGGTTGGAGGAGAGAAAAGACCTCTATACAGTGACAACAAAAATAAAAGTGTCTTAAGAAATTAAAACAAGCTTAGCGTGGCGGCGCACGCCTTTAATCCCATCATTCAGGCAGAGGCAGGAGGATCTCTGTGAGGTCGAGGCCAGCCGGGTCTACACAGCGAGTCCAGGACAGCCAAGGCTACACAGAGAAACCCTGTCTGCCTCAGAAAACGAAAACAAAACCAACCAAACAAAAAGGGTCAGGATGGACTTCCTTTCTCGGGCCAGTCCTAGAAGGCAGGCTCTACCGGGATATTTCCCACGGTGACCAGAAGGGACCGGACAAGGGTGTCCGAGCATGCGCGGACGAGTGGGCGTGGCGCGCCCGACTACAGGCCCCTCCTCGGGGTCCGCCTTCCGCCCGACCCGCCTGCGCACTGGCTCGGGGGCGGAACCGGCACCTCCACATCCGGGAGTCTGTGGCTGTGGCTGTTTTGTTTTCTTGCAGAACTGAAGTAAAGTGAGGCTACCAAACGCGTCGCGATTCCCGACTCCAGACTTGGATGTGAGTGCGGACGGGAGGGCAGAGCAGCGGGCCGGACGGGGCTCGAACCCGCGGTGCTAACCGCGCCCCAGCCGCGGCTGAGATCGCGCGACCTGCCCGGCGGCTTCCCGTCGCCGGGTCTCACCCCCAAACTGCCGAGCTGGGTCTGCGGAGCCCACGCGTGGCCGCGCCCTGTTCCTCCAGAGTCTGCAGGGCGGTTCTGCCTTTGAACCAGTCAAGTAATTGTGCATAGAGAAAAGGGACTCGGGTGGGGCCATCGCGGTGAACAATTACACATCAAGGGCTGCTTTTTTTTTTTTTTCCAAGCATTAGATCAAAAAACGAGTGTTCTCAGACCCGAACTCGTCCCAAGAGCATGTCAGCTTTCCCCTTCAGCTTGTTTAGAGGAAGCTAAAACTGAAGTCGCAGTTTTCAGGGAGTTGTGGGGGGGGGGACCCATTCTGTGAGCGAGTTGTGCATTATTCAGGTTTTCCCATTATCTTGTTGAAATAAAGATCGCGCGGTGTTTCCTGGGCCGAGTTAGCACCGTTGGGCTTGAAGGAGAGTTTTATGTAATTTGTTAAGACAGTGTCGGTTGGCCGTGGTAATTTAGCGACGCATTCTTTTCTTTGGGGTCTGAATTAATTCCAGGTCTGCCCTTTTTGTGGGGTGTGCTGAAACACCATGAGAAGCAGGGTTAGGGACACCACATCAAATAAGAGGGGTGCCGTCCGAAGGCAGGCTTGGAGAGGGGACAGGTACTGTAAAAGAAATGAGGTAGGGATCGTTTCCTTTCTTATTTGGGCATGAAAAAACACATATTCATGATAACATATGCAAATTCCTAGGGGAAAGATTTTTTAATCCGAGTCTGTTTTTAACTTAAAAACAAAGCTATCGGGTCCTTATTTTGCAGAGTCAAATAGTAACCTTAGTTTGGAACTACAGCTTTAGAACAGGGCCCTGGAGACCTAAGTGTCATCGCCCTCACTTTTTTAAGGGACTGCTTATAGTGGACTTGCAATAAGAAAATGGGACTTCGTTGAGATCAGTACATTTTTGCTAAAGTTTGGGTAATCATCATCTTTCATATTATCTAAATACACTGGAACCATCCTATTTTGCTTTCTTGGTGTTTGGGTTTTTTGTTTGTTTGTTTTGTTTTGTCTTTTGAGACAGACTGGCCTCAAACTCACTGTGTAGGCCTGTCTGGCCTCTGACTGACTGCATTCCTTGGCCTGCCAAACGTTAGGGTTACAGGCAGGAGCCATCACACCACTCCCAGATAAAAAACCTTGTTTTTACATTAAAAGTGTGTATATGCTCCCCAGGTGGTGGCATAGAATGCCTTTAATCCCAGTGTTCAGGAGGCAGAGGCAGGTAGATCTCTGAGTTCCAGGTCAGCCTGTTCTATATAGTGAGACCCAGGACAGCCAGGGCTACACAGAGTGATACTGTCTCAAAACAACAACAAAAAGTATGTATATGGTGAATGAATTCAAATTTTGCTTTCCAGAGTTAGAATGTGGCAGTTTATCAAAAGCTAAATCAAACCTGGCTTGGTGGCTTACATTTAATTATCCTAGCACTTGAGGCAGGAAGATGACCTGGCCTCTGAGAGCGAGCAGCCTGGGGTCTTAATTTATTTGTGGGGCGCTTCCTTAGTACACATGGAGCCCTACGTACCTCACTCGCCCCAAAAGCTCCATCCCGACTTCTGAAGAAATAAGTGGGGCCAGAATAAAAAGCGTCTGTGACTTGTGTTAGATTATTATTGTGCTGTGAAATAGCAACAGGAGCACAGCCAAGTGTGAAGTGAGTTATCTGCCTTGGTTTTGTTTTAGTGACCTGAGAGGATGTCTGGATTTCTGGAAGGTGGGAGGTGCTCGGAATGCATGGACTGGGGGGAGAAGCGGAACACCATCGCCTCCATTGCTGCCGGCATTCTCGTAAGTGTCCTTGGCGCTCCCTGCGGTGATGTCTGTGCGGAGTTCTGGTTTCTTTAAAAACACAGAAATATTGTAAGAATATGTTTTTGTTTTAATCCCAGGTGTGGAGGAAAGGGGCCGGCTTTGTAGGAGCAGTTTACTATGATTTGCCTTGCGCCCTAGCGTAGGTGTGATTTTGCCAGTTGCAAATTCTGCAACTGTGTAACAGTGTGTGATGCTTGGAATTCTGGGAACTTTCCAGGGGCTAGACCCAAGAGGTGGGGTGGGCTGTTGGTTGGATGCTATTGGTTGCTGTTTGTCAAGTAGTCGAACACAAACAGGAAGAAGAAGAAGTTAGGTAGACATCCTGACATCAAAGATCAAACTTACCCCAAGGAACTCAACACCCCTAATCGGCAGGAAGTGGCCCAGCAATGACATCGCTCCCTTTCCCCTCCATCCTTTTTTCTCTTCTATCTAGTGTTAGAGGGCTGAAGGAGGAGAAGAAAAGGGATGGAGAAGGATAGATGAAAGAGGAACCCACAAGTAGTAAAAGCACCAGTTACTTGTGTCTGTATAAGACATTTTAGATTATGTGTGGTGCTTTAAAATGTGTACTTTGTAAAAATAATCACCAAACTTATTTTACTCAGGGATGTTTGTTTTTTTATTTTTGTCAATAGTTGGAGTAACGAAACATACATCTAATAGTAATAATAAGTTCTTTAATAAAAATTAGCACAATAATAATAATAATAATAAACTCATGTTTGTTTATTGTATGGGTTATGCCTCCTTGACTCAGTAAGAAAGGATTGAAGGGGGACAGGTATGGCGCACACCTTTAGTCCCAGCTCTCTGGCCTGCAGACCGAGTTCCAGGACAGCCAGAGCAAAGAGTGAGCTCCTGTCTCAAGAAGAGAAAAAAAGAAAGAAAGGGTTAAAGAAACACTCAGGCTGGAACTGGTCAAGAGAGATAATCCTATTTCTCGGGTTGTCCAGAGTTCACATTCCACTTAATGTCGTCGGGAAGACTGTTAGGAAATGCATCCACTTCTTTTTGGACAGGGTCCCAGGGAGCTCATGTTGACCTCAAGCTTAATAGTAAAGCCAAGGATGGCCTTGAACTCCTCGCCTTCCTGCCTCTACTTCCCAAGTGCTGGGGATTGCAGGTGTGTGCCACCTTGACCTTTAAAATATAATGCTCAGAGGTGATTTGCAAAATAAAATTATTATTTACATTGCAAATTCCTCAAGCAGTCTGATACTATGGTTTAAGATCTTACCTGCTGTAGGCACCTTTTTCCTTTTTTTTTTTTTTTTAAGATTTATTTATTTATCATTTATACATTATTCTGCCTGCATGTACACCTACATGCCAGAAGAGGGCACAGGATCTCATTATAGATGGCTGTGAGCCACCATGTGGTTGCTGGAAATTGAACTCAGGACCTTTGGTAGAACAGCCAGTGCTCTTAACCTCTGAGCCATCTCTCCAGCCCTGTAGGCACCTTTTTTAATCTATTTTATTTTATTTAATTTCTTATACCTCTACCTCCCTTCTCCACCTCAATCCCTTCCAACACCCCAACATCAGATAGAGAAAGGTTAGTGGGGAGAGAGGGCGGAGATCTCTTTAGGTACTACGTGCTGGTTGGGATCATCAGGTTTCTTGGGGCAAGTCCACTCTTCGTTTCAGGATGTCTCCGACTTCTTGTCAAATTGCGTCAACAGCAACAAGGAACTGCAGGAGGAAAGCACCAGCTCCTTCTTCTTTCTCAGAGCCCCTTTCCTCTCCCCCATCTCTCTCCTGGCTGTGGCCTTTATTCCCTCTCTGGAGTCCTCAGAACTAAACTATCTGCAGCTGGCAAAAATCACGCCCTTCTCAGAGCCTGCACGAGGCAAATAGTTTGCTGCTGTGGACATCTGGAACATTCCCCATATCCTACACCTGGGATCAAAACAAAAACATCTTTGCATAACAGTTTTTAAAGACACCAAAACTTCCACTACAACCTACTGCTTGTTCTAAAAAGGAATACTTTTACTAGACTCTGAACCTAGGACCGAACACGGAGTAGGCAAGTTGTCTGTCGCTGAACTATAGCCCTGGCCTGGAAGGATGAAATTTTAAGTAAATGACTAGAAACCCAACTTCAAATATCTACTCTTTACCTAGTCTTTTGTTTTTTTTCCACAATATATATTTAGAAAAAACACATATTTCCAAATTCATGACAACATTTAATATCACCGAGAAACTCTCACATTTTGAATAGCTTTAAATTTTAGCCTAGAAATAGAATACCTTGAATGCAGGGCTGGAGAGATGGCTCAGGGGTTAAGAACATTTGTTGTTCTTGCAGAGAACCCAAATTCAGTTCCTAGGACTGTCATGGTGGCTCAGAACCTTCTGTTATCCAGCTTCCTGGGTTCTGACGCACTCTCCTGAACTCCATGGACACCAGTCACATATGTGATTCACAGGCAGACATACATGCAGGCAAAACATCCAGAAACAATACTGGCAGCTCTTCAGAGGACATGGGTTCAATTCCCAGCACCCACATGGCAGCTCACAACTTTCTGTAACTCCTGTTCCAGGGGGTCTGACCGTCTCATACAGACATACATGCAGTCTGAACCCCAATGCACATAAAAATTATTTCAGAAAACTTTTAAGATCTTGAACACACTAAAGGCTGGGGAGGGGGGGAATGGAAACCCAAGCCACTACTTGTACCAGCCAAATAAAAGCATTCTTAGTAAGCATATGGATCTGTCTATAACCAGATAAAGGCAATTTGATGGTTTAAAATAACTTTAAATCACCAGGGGATGGTGCTACCCAGGGCTTCTCCCGGTTGGCAGTGAAGGCAGGAAAGGGGGCTCCTTACAAGTCCTTGTAAGCTGTTGGTCAGTGTTTGGTTAATAGTTTCTTGTGTGTGTGATCTGGAAATGGAAGCCAGGCCACGTGCACAGCAGACAGTGCCCAGCCACCAAGTGACATCCACAGCAAGCACGATGCCACCCTGTAGATTCCTGATCAGGTGAATTTTTTTAACGTAGAGTATTATTGCTTTTATTTTACATATTTTCCTTTATTAATAACCAAAAGAAAATTTAGTTAGGTAATATATAATCTCGTGTTCAGATTGAACTTAAAAATCATATCAGAGAGGCTGGAGAGATGGCTCAGCAGTTAAGAGCACTGGCTGCTCTTCCAGAGGACCTGGGTTCAATTCCCAGCACCCATATAGCCACAGACAACTGCCTGTAACTCCAGTTCCAGGGGACCCTAACCCTCTCACCAATGCACATAAAATAAAATTAGGTAAATTTTAAAAAGTCATTTCAGAAACCACCAAATGGCCTCCCCGGTGACTGTGTGCTGCCACACCCCACATTATCTCTCCCCTCGGAGAGCCGCAGTGGGGTGTCAGCTGGGATCTGAGGTCGACCGTAAACTCAGGCTGCCATGCTTGAGCCCTCTGGGCTGCAGTCCACAGGCATGAGCAGCCCCACCCGACTTCCCTTTCCTCACTCGATCAGCGCCCAGATTTATAAAGTCCGTGCTGGTGGAAGCAGGTTTGGGGCGCCTATGACTTAACCAGCTGGCGAGCCACCGGCAAGCGTGGAGATGCTGGAATGGCTGAGGAAACTCGGGAGCCCATTTGAAAGGGTTTGCTGGTTCAAACACCCCGCAGTAACACAGGCGCCTTTGCTCTCGTTCCTCACTGACGTCGCCTCCTTTGTCTGTCTTTAAGTTTTTCACAGGGTGGTGGATCATCATAGATGCCGCCGTTATTTATCCCACCATGGAGGAGTTCAACCACTCATACCACGCCTGTGGCGTCATAGCAACCATAGCCTTCCTCATGTAAGTGTTGGCCCTACCCTGCCTACCCAGAGCGCCACAAACTGAAACGGCCCCAGTTTGAAATTCTGGTAGGTAAGAAGGCCAGCCGGGCATGGTGTCACACTCCTGTAACCTGCGGTCCCAGCACTCAGGAAACAGAGAGACAGGAAGATCGCTGCCGGTTTCAGGCCAGCCCGGTGTACTTAGGAAGTCCCATGCCAGCCAGGGGGCTCGGTCTCAAGAAAAAAATGCTAAGGGTCTGAAGAGATGGCTCAGTGGTTAAGAGCATGTACCACTCTGGCAGAAGACCTGGGTTTGGTCACCCTCGTGGTGGCTCACAGCTTCCTGTAACTCCAGTTCCAGGGCATCCGATGCCCTCTTATGGCCTCTGCAGGCCCCAGGCATTTGTATAAACATGCAGGTAAAACACTCGTGTGCATACAGATGGATCTAATGGGAAGAAACAAGACAAAAATCCCAGTACTTGTATAGGTTGAGACGGTTAGGGTTGCTGTTAGGCCAGCAAGATGACACTGTGGTGAGGAGACGCTACAGTCCTTGTTCCCTCTTCCCTTTCTGCTGTCCACTCCCATAGCTTCTCCCTACTTTCCTCAGCTGCGCTTGCTTCTGTTGTAGCCAAGTTAAAAATTCCCCGTTCACCTCGGACACTGTGTGCTTTCCTTACGGGTTTTTCACCCCACCCCTCCACAAGCACATACTTAGCCTCCCAGCCTGGCCTCTGTTCTCAGTACAGGGCAACTGGCTGTGGCTGACACAGAAGCAGCCTATATATAGGTGGGTGAGGTGGACAGCCACGAAGCAAGGATAAGTTATAGTGAGTTCTCTGACTGCAAGTGCAGGTGAGAAAAGGCTGATGAGGGGTCAGGACCTGGGGGAAGGGGCTGGGTGGAGAAAGTCATGGAGAGCGAAGGAAGGCTCACCGAAGCTGTGACCTCGAGTCTGAAATTTGGTTTTGTCATTCTGGCTCTACAGTGATAATTCTGTTCCTCTTCCTGGCGTTCCTCTCTAGTGGCCTGTCTAGGTGGATTCTCTTCTCTTTGCCCTTTTGTGCCCCATTCCAGATCACCTCCGGGTCATCTCCCATCCTGTTAAGTGAATTCCAGGGGCTTTTCCTTGGGCCTGTGTCTGTATGTTTCCTGAATTGCAAGTGCTTCCTGTAGGGAGCAGCTATTGGTTTTGAGACAGGGCCTCACTGTGTACCCAGGCTAGCCTGGAATTGGTTCTTCTCACGCCTCAGCCTCCCCGTTGCTGGAGTTACAAACATGCGCCCCAGCCAGCCTTTCTGTGCGTGCTGCAGCTCTTTCTCTGCTGAGCCTCAGCACCAGCTTTAGGCAAGGAGTCTGAGATCAAGAACAGTCCAGTCCTGGGCCAGCACTTCAGCTTGGCTAAGGGGCACAGGCTCCTGAACACCAGGTCTGGGGTTTCTGCTCTGGACGTCAGTGCTCTCTGCAGATTCTCCCAGAATGTTCTTGGGAGAGAAGCCTTCCTGCCACCCTGCTTATGAGGGCAAGTAGTCGCTGGGCCTGCTGTAGGCCAGAGGGATTGGCAAATTGTGGCCACACCTAGTTTGCAATGCTATTGGGACACACCCTGCTGTCACTGTCTGCAGTTTTCTCTCCTGCATGCGCACATGCGCCCATGGCCTTGAGTATGTCAAGCAAGCGACTTACCCCGAGGTTGCTTGCTTGTGGTAGTTACCCGGAGGGCTACACGAGGGAGGAGTTTGACCTCAGATCCTGTCTCAGTCCCAGCCCTGTGCTGTGGCCTCTCCATGCAGAGTTCCTCTGTGCTTCCTGTCTGCTCCACACACGCTGAATGGAGCCCCCCACCCCATCCTTACCGTCTTTATTATTGCATGTCCTTCTTTACTCCTGGGATGGGCCGAGTGCAGTTGGGAGGTTTGAGGGGCATCCGTGTAGCCCAGGCTGGCCTCGGGCATTGTGATCCTTCTGCCTCAAGCGCTGGATGTGTTCACCTGTCTAAGTATCGGAGATTACGTCGAGATGCTTCATCCCCCCCCCCAGGTGTCGCTGCGGTTCCCTCTGCATCTGTAGCTCACAGACAGGCTGTGTCCCGGGGGAGGGGACATCATTCCCCCACACGCAGGATTTGGGCACTTGAGGGACTTTGCTGAAATTACACTGTATTTTACAGTAACCAAAGGGAATAGAAAAATTCCCCTTAATTAAAAATGCCTGGAAAATGACTTTTTTATTTTTCTCCTCCAAAAGCCACCTAAAATGAGTTTCTAGGCATGGTCCTATAAATCCTAACACTTGAGTCAGCCTTTTCCTAGTCCAGGTGCCAGATCCCCACTTTTTAACAGCCCACTCACGTACACGTTTACATCTGTAAAAGTCTTTTCCAAGCCAACGGAGGGTCCTGTGAGCCACTGAGGGACACACGTCGTGCACGGGGGCCAGGTCTGACTTACATGCCTGCCTGGTGGCAGAGGGTGGGCGCCTTTTTTTGGTGTTCCGCTGGCACTCGGTGCTCCAGCCTTCCCACTCTGCTGCAGTTAACTAATAATTAGGCTGCTGGGCTCCATTAGGGTTGCTGAAACGCTCCGTTAGGGTGTTCATAATTTAAGCCCTGTTCCCGACTGAGCACACGGATGCGTGTGTGTGTGTGTGTGTGTGTGTGTATGTTTTCATTTATTTTGCCTCAGATCTTTACACTTCAGCTTTGCTCCCTGTGACACGGGCAGCCCTGCCCGTGGAGGAGGGGGTGACCTGCACACATATGTTCGCGTATGGGTGTGTAGTGTGTGAGTGAGCAGAGCAGCCTCCAGCCACATTCTTCACTGTGTTTCCGGTACCTGGTGGCAGGAGATGTGCCTTGGGCTTATTAGCTTTCACCATTGGCTTCAACTCACACGTTTTCATCCCAGTGTCAGACAGCTTCACAGTGAGACCCAGCAAGCCTTTTAACCTAAAAAAAAAAAAATGTTTTTAAACTAAGGTGAGCTTTTTGTTTTTATCTTCTTTTTGAATTTTGTTTGTTTGTTTGTTTGTTTTGAGACAGGGTTTCTCCGGGTAGCCCTGGCTGTCCTGGAACTCACTCTGTAGACCAGGCTGTCATCAGACTCAGAGATCCGCCTGCCTCTGCCTCCTGAGCGCTGGCATCAAAGGTGTGCGCCACCACTGCCCAGCCATAAAGACTAACTTGTGTAAAAATATATATATGGATGTGTGCAGGTACCTTTTGAGGCCAGAGGCTTTGGGTCCCCAGGAGCTCCAGTTGAGACAGTTGGTGGGGTCAGGATCAGAACTCGGGTCCTCTGTGTGTGTAGTGAGTGCTCTTAGCCACTAAGCCATGTCTCAAGCCCTGTGCTCAGTGTTTCACAAGCAGTGAGATCACCTGAAAGGTTTGTTAGAACTAGGCTTTAGAGCTCCACGCTGGAGTTTCTGCTTCAGGAGGTTTGGGGCGAGGCTAAGACTTTGCTAGCTTGCCAGATGCTGCCATTTCTCCCAGTCTAGACCACAGCGGCGGCTCCAAGGCGTGTCTCCGTTGAAGGGCTTCCGTGGGTGACCGGAGTCATGCGGACCCATGGCTTAGGAGGCCTCACCTTGAATTTGAGCAACCCCAGCCTATTGCGCTTGATAGTATGATGATGAGGACAGCTTCTCCCCGGAGGGGGAAGCCCTAATTTCCTGGCTTTCTGTTCCCGCAGGATCAATGCAGTATCGAATGGACAAGTTAGAGGTGACAGCTACAGTGAAGGCTGCCTAGGCCAGACAGGTAAATAGGCCCTGGCATCTTCCTGCCGATCTTTCCTCGCTGAACTGAGGCTTCTCCCCGGAAGGGTGCTTGTTGGCCTTTTGGGTCCCAGTATAATACGCTGGATTCCGAGGTCACAGCAGGCTTGAATGTGGGCCTTGGCAGTCATAGGTAGCCTATAGTGTCTCCAGGCTGCAGCAGGGAGCAGGAGCTGGTAACGTGGCAACACAGAATCCCCCAGCGCGTTGACATGATCGTCTTTTCAACAGCTCTATTTGGTTGTGTTACCATTTTTTGTTTGTTTGTGTGTTTGTCTGTTTGTTTTTCTAGGTAGGGTCTTGCTGTGTAGTCCTGGCTGGCCTGGAACTTACTGTGTAAACCAGGCTGAGTTTGAGCTCACAGAGATCCACCTGCCTCTGCCTCCCACGTGTTAGGATTATAGAACTAACCACTACGCCCAGCTTGCGTTAGCATTTTGAAATATTTTGTAACCTCAGACCATTTTTTTAAATGCGTGTGGATGCTTTGCGTGCCAGTCTGCGTGCCACGTGTGTGCCTGCCGACCATAGAGGCCAGAAGAGGGTGCTGGATCCCCACGTGGGTGCTGGAAACCAAACCTCTTCCTCCGGAACTGCTGAGCCCTCTCTACAGCCCCGCAGCCAGCTATGTGGGAAGATTAAAGGATGGCGCTTAGCTCAGCAGCGGCCAAGCACGCTTACTCACTGAGCCATCTCACTGGCCCCTGGCTTCACTTGAGACAGGATCTCAGGTAGCCCGGGCTAGCTTCAAACCCCCTGTGTAGCCAACAGTAGCCTTGAATCGGGGTTGGTCCTCCTGCACTGACCCCCAAAGTGTGTGAATCATGTGCCGCCTCGCCCAGCCCGTTGTGGGTTTGTTTTTATGTGTGTGTGTGTGTGTGTGTGTGTGTGTGTGTGTGTGTGTGTGTGTGCACTATGTCACGTCATATCTATGAGTTCTATTTGTGGCTTTTCTTTTTTTGAGACGGTCTTTGTAGCATTGTTTGCTGGCCTACACCTCACCATGTAACTCAGACCGGCATTCCTTCTACCTCAGCAACCCATATCTGGTGGGGAGGTGGGGGGTGAGTGTGGATGCTCGTGTGTCATGGTGTGTGGAGGTCAGAGGACAGCTTATTGGAGTCAGTTCTCTCTTGTTACCATTTGGGTCCCAGGGAGCAAGCTGAGGCATCAGGCTTGGTAGCAAGCGCCTTTGCCTGATGGGTTCTGGCCAGCTCTTTTGAGTTATGTCTCATGTAGCACAGGCTACCCTCGGACAACAGACCCTCCTGCCTCTCCCTCCTGCTGTTGAGGTCACAGACCTGCACACACACGCTTGGATTTTCATTGTCTTTGTCAAGTCGGCAGCTGTGGTAATACCGTATCTTTGCAGGTGCTCGAATATGGCTCTTAATCGGTTTCATGTTGGCTTTCGGGTCCCTGATTGCATCCATGTGGATTCTCTTTGGAGGTTATGTTGCCAAGGGTAAGGAAGTGCTGGCTACATTTTTAATTTTAGCTATTTGAAGATAAAAATAATCTTGCTGGGCAAGATCATACATGCCTTTAATCCCAGCACTTGGGGGGCAGAGGCAGGTAGATCTTTGTCAGGCACCAGTTACATTTTTACTGGGATATCTATGGTCTATTTGGTCTATTTTATCTGGACTACAGAACTTGTTCCCTATTTTTCTAGGGTCCCTCAAGGTGGAATTTTAGCCAGGGACCCAAGGCCTTTTCTAACTCTGGCCTTAAATCGGTCTTACACAGCACACAAAACTATTATTGCTTTTTCTATGTAAAAGGAGATAAAATTGTATTACCAAGGCGGTCACTAAACTGGGGCAAAGGTGCCAAACACATGTACCTCAACACTCGGGAGGTGGAGAAGGGGAACCCCTGATTCCAGGCCACCCTAGGCTACAGAGCAAGAACTTATCCTGGGTGTGTCGGTGAGCGGCTATAATCCCATAATTTGGGAGTCTGAGTGAGGCAAGAAGTCTGACAGGAATTTGAGACTACACATCAAGAATGTTTCACCGAAATAAAAACAAACAAAATAAAAAAACCCCAAGGGCCATGGAACAGCTCAGTGGGAAGGTGCTTGTCCTCCAAAGGACTGTGGGCTCAATCCTCAGCATCTTTTCTTTTTTCTAAGACAGGGTTTCCCCGTGTAGCCCTGGCTGTCCTGGAACTCACTCTGTGGACCAGGCTGGCCTCACAGAGATCCACCTGCCTCTGCCTCCCGAGTGCTAGGACTAAAGACAGGAGCCGCTATACCTGGAGGTGGTGACATGTAGAGGCCTAGACAAAAACCCCAGGCTGTTTGGGGATGAGAAAGAGGTGGCAGTCAGCTGGGCCTCTGGGCTCTGAGTTGTCAGTCAGCAAGTGCTGAGACAAACCCCCGCCCCCAGCTCCATGCTCAGAATTCCCCCTTCAGCTTGCCACAGTTTCCTCCTGCTCTCCTGAAAGGACTTCCAAGCAGGTTTCCTGTCTCCCCCTTTGCTTTCAGTGGGATCCTTTTAGGACATGTCAGCTCAAGTAGCCTTCCCTGTCATGACTGCCTGGTCTGACCTCCCTTCTCTTACCTCTCTTACCCAGCAGCCATTCCTCTACCTTGCCAGCTGCTCCCACCTCAGGGCCTTTGCTCGCTGCAGCTCTACCCCGGCCCTCGCTTGCTCCAGTGTCTGCCCTTCCTAGGGTCTTCCTGGCCTCTGGGTCTTAAGTCTCCATGGGCTGAGCTGCTCCATTGTCTTCCTTTGGTTGGCTCCCTGGCAGGCCAGACATTTGCCAGCTTTTTTCTTCAGGGTCCTCAGCACATTCTGCAATGTTCCTTCATGTGCCGTGTGCCTTCAGGAGGTACTATTACCGGAACAGAGAGAGCCGCCATGTAGTATGTCATTTAACTTACCCATAGCCACTGCCAGAATGGTCAGTTGGGGTAGGCAAGAAATTTGGTATTTGTTAGTCTGTCTGGACCTTACTCTTTGGAGATCTTAAACCTCTAAATATTACAATTGTTTTTACAGAAAAGCCCATAGTGTATCCTGGAATTGCTGTATTTTTCCAGAATGCCTTCATCTTTTTTGGGTAAGTTCTGATTTCCATTCTTTCATTCACTGTGTGTATGTGTGTTTTTGTTCTGTGGGGGAAAGTTGATCTCTCTCTGTTTATGGCTTTATTCTGTGTGTGTGTGTCATTTTGTTGTATATGTTCTCTGTATGTGTGGTTTTATTGCATGTGTGTAGGTGTGTGTGTGTGTCTGTCTGTCTGGGAGGGGGTTCTTTAAAGGAAGGAATTCCTCTCTGAAGCCAGGGCTGGACACAGACTCCTGGGCCCAGGCAGTCCTTCACTAAGTAGCAATGCGCCACTAGGCCTGGCAGGATTTTCCCTCATGCATTGCAAGCGTTGGCACTGCCGTGGACCTCCACCTCCGAGCCCTTACCCCTTGGCTTCTCGGCATTCACCTGAGGTTCTGTTTCATCCAAATCCACTTCAGAAGGCAGCGGCAGGAGACTTGCCGTAGTTCACGGATAGCCTGATTTATATAGTAGGGTCCTTGCCAGCCAAGGGTGCACATACCCAGTAAGACACCCCTCCCCCATTTCACAAAAACAAAGACCTGAACTCCTCCAAGGAGAAGGAGTTCTGTGTTTCGGGCCTCCTTGGTGTTTGGTATATATGCCCCCCTCCCCCCCCCCGAGGTATGTGACAAGAGCAGAGGAAGGACACAGACACTGTGGGCCTTGCACACCAAGGCCACGGTGTGTAGATGGGTGTGGGGTTGCAGCTCTGCCCTAGCGTGCTCCCCCCAGGCCTTGGATCCCAGCCGCATCCCCTCCAAAAAGCTTTGTTGAATCAAGTAGGTCATGGTCCCCTCCCACACACTGGCTGACTTTTCTGAGGCCTCAGCAGGAGCGTCCCAACCCGGGCAGTCACGCTACTTCTCATTCTGTCCACAGGGGCCTGGTTTTTAAGTTCGGCCGCACGGAGGATTTATGGCAGTGAAGATGCTCCTGCAGCACAGCCACCCTGCATGGGATCCCCCCTCCCCCCACTGCTCACCCAGTCTTTTGTAATGCTGTTTTCTAAACTTACTCCTGAGTATAATCTCAGCTTGAAATTGTAAATGCCAGAATCATGAGAACTCCTACGTAAACTGCAACAGTCCAGTGCGGCGTGCCCGATCAGCTTCTACAGCAGGAAAGGAAGCTGTTGACGCGAGTAACTTCTCCTCAGCTTCTGTGATGGTCTGAAGAGTGGATTAAGGAGAACCGTGGAGTCTTCGGGATGAGCTTTCGCTCTGGGGTCCAAAGTGTTCACTGAGTGCAGCCTCTTCTGTGTCCAATGTTGAATAATGTATAAACATTTTCTTGTTATTAAAAACTATTCAGTGGTCAGAGTTCTTTCTCATTATACTTTGTAGTTGGTTTATATGGTTCTACCAGAAAAATTCAGCAGCTTCCTTTCCATGTAAATGGTCGAAGATAATTTGTGGGAAGGGTTCACGACTCTCTTGATTGAGAAAGTGTTCTTATTAGGAACACTTTACTGCCTCAGACTATTGATGTCTTTTTGTGATTTTTGAGTCAGGATTTCTCTGTTTATCCTTGGCTGTCCTGGACTCACTTTGTAGACCAGGCTAGCTTCAAACTCACAGAAATCTGCCTGCCTCTGCCTCCCTTAGTGTCCTGGGAGTACAGGTGTGGACCACCACATCTGGCTTATTGAGGATGTGTTTAAAGATGGCACTTTAAAGGAGTAATGTGCCATCCTGACAGGATAATGATGGAATTGCTAGGAGCACCCAGGCCCAACAGTGGCCCTGGACAGAGTCAGTGGCCCAGACTTTTTGCTGTACATATTTAAAAACAGTACTGCGGAACTGAAGGGTTTGGACCTAGATTCTTCAGACGTGGGAGATTCCCAGGAGAACTAAGCACCTAAGATGTGCCAGATTTACATGACTGAGATGTGCACCAGCCCCACAGCTGCTGGAGATGTTCCTTGCTGAGAAGCCTGTAGAGAGAACGCCAGAAACTGAAACTGAAGAAACGGAAGTAAGAGGTAAAAGAGAAAGTGGCAGGCATTTTTGTATAAGTGGTACCCGAGTGGAGCCCAGGCTATCCCCAGACTCCCATCCCTGCTGTGGACATCTCCATTGTACTGCTGATTCAGAATAAGAACACTGAATCAGATGTGATGTGTGGACCTGCTGGATACAGATGGCTCAGTCCACACTTTGCCATGTATGGAAAGAGAGGGCACAGACAGGACGGTATCTCAGGTGACAATTCCCAGGACTTGACTGTAGGTGCTGTTTGCTTCTTAAAGATTTGTTTATTTTCTGTAGATGAGAGCTCTGTCTGCGTGTACATGTGCACATCAGAAGAGGGCACCAGATCACGTTATAGATGGCCGTGAGCTACCATGTGGATGCCAAGAATTAAACTCAGGACCTCTGGAAGAGCTGACAGTCATCTCTCCAGTCCCCACAGGCACTGTTTCTTAAACTACTTAAGGTTTAAGCCTCTACCTCCCTTCCAAACCCCTAGCCCTAGGTAGGAGAGATAGAAGGTTAGAAGGGGTGTGTGCCTCGTTAGACTTAGTTCCAGGTGCTTAGGGTCGTTGGGTTCTTTTGGGGCAATACCCATCTCATAGTCAGGATATCCAGCAGTCCAGGTAACTGGCCGCTCTCTTCTCTGTGTCCTCCAAGCTGCTGCTGCGCCTTCTTCCTCTGGGTTTTCCCCCAAAGTCCTCAGAATCCAACTAACTCCAGCTGGCAAAGACCACGCCCCTGCTTGAGGCAATTATCAGCTGCAGACAAACTAAAATCCCACGCTTGGGATTAAAACAAAAAGATGTTTACATAATATAACTGAGGTTTTTAAAGAAACCAAGTCTATTACACTTGATAGTCTGGCTCGGGGGTAATTTGTTCTGATAGTGACTTGAATTCTGTGTTTCATTTCACCTCTGAACAGGTAACTTAAATTCAGCAGGCCAAAGGGTCTCTTAGCACTACACCGGCTAGCTGTCAGGGACTTTGGTAGCCTGGCCCAACTGGTACTCTTGAACTTTGCTGTGACCTCCCCCCCCTCCCCCCAGCCTGCTGCCCCAGGCTTTCACCTTACACGAAATGGTACAAATTCTTCAGAGCTAAGCTTCAAGGGTTGGCCTTCATGGCCTGCTGTAATCGCCGTCTGGCAGCCATGATCTGTGTCATAGATGGCTTAGATGTGTGCGCTCTCCCACACCCACGAGATGTGGATTTGAATGATGTTGGCTCACAGGACGCAAAGCACTGCTTCTCCTGTGGACACTGCCCCCAGGCCATCACACAGAGGACAGACCGTGGCGGGGGTCTCAGAGGGAAGCCCACCTCTTAGGAACTTGAGAGTATACACCCTCACCCCACAACCGATGTGTCACTCTCTCCCCACAGCACAATTTGGGCGATGCTGAGGACCTTGTAAAACTGCTGGCTCTAAAGCCTGTGTGCAGTGACCAGACGTGAGGGGTCCAGATTTCCCGGTAACCTTCCTTTCCCCGTAGCCTGGGGAGCAGCTTTGATAAGTGTGAGAAGAAGGAAAGAGTTGTGGACAGAATTGGACCAGAACTTTAATGAGGTGTCTGCCGCCAAAAGCATTGATAGTGTTTATCACGAAACCCAACATATTATTTAAACTTAGATCACACTTGGAAGACTTTCTTGTAAAACATGTTTCAGACGTAACTGGAATGCAAAGAAAGGGGCGTCTTCACGCTCAGCCTTGGGCTCGGATGTTTTTGTTTAATATCCAACAGCCAGGTGAGGGAACTGTGAAGGCAAAGCACACGTTTATTTTTTAATTAATTAGTTAATTAATTAACTACTTATTTCTTTGGGACAGCCTTTCTCTGCGTGGCTTTGCCTGGCCTAAAAGCAGGCACCACCACATCTGGCTGGCGCTTTCAAAACCTTGTGAAGTTTTTTTTTGTTTTTTTTTTTGGGGGGGGTGTTGTTTTCTTGTTTTGTTTTGTTTAGATTTATTTATTAGTTATACAGTATTCTGCCTGTATGTACACCTACAGGCCAGAAAAGGACACCAGCTATCACTATAGATGGTTGTGAGCCACCGTTTGGTTGCTGGGAATTGAACTCAGGACCTCTGGAAGAGCAGCTAGTGTTCGTATCCTCTGAGCCATCTCTCCAGCCCTCAAAAACCTTAAATTAGGAGAGATCGTAGATGTATCGTTTCTCTTTGTGCTCTTTTTTTTTTTTTATTTTTTTTAACTATTTTTACTTTTTGTTTTTATTTTCCAACACAGGGTTTCTCTGTGTAGCCCTGGCTGTTCTGGAACTCACTCTGTAGACCAGGCTGACCTCAAACTCAGAGATCCACCTGTGCCTGCCTTCCGAGTGCTGGGATTACAGGTGTGTGCAACCAGGCCCGGCTTTAATTGTTTTTAATTAAAAAACAAAAACAAAAAAACTACGTGTGGAGGATTTGCTTGCACGTGTATGTGCACCGTGCACACTCCTGGTTCCTGTAGAGGCCATAAGAGGACATCTCATCCCTAGAGGTGGACTTACAAACGGTTGTGAGCTGCCCTGTGGCCTCTAGGAATCAAAAGCAGGTCCTCTGGGAAAACAGCAGTACTCTTGACCACTGAGCCATCCTCTCTCCTATTTGTTTTCACGTATGTACGCTCGGGTGTACACGCTTGTCTGTTGGCTTACTGCACGTATGTGGTGTCTGAAGAGGCCAGAGGTGGTACCAAAACCCCTGGAACTGGAGTTCAACCCCCTGCACTATGCCTGACCCTGCCATCTTCCTTCCTGGGCCTGGCTCCTGCTGGGGTCCCAGGCTGGACCAGCACGGCAGCTTCTCGTGGTTTCCTCTGCTTGGCTCATTTGTTCGTATGCCTCTGGTGACAGGGTCTCACTACTACCATAAGCTCTTTCCATTTGGTGTTTTCTCTGGGGCGTTGTCGTGACGTAGGGAGCCACACGGGCAGCTCCTGGACCGTGTCTCTACGTTACAGTCCCTTTCTGCTCGGTGACAGGAAAGAAGTTTGATGGCTACATGGTGACATCAGGGGTGGGGAGACAATTCTCCCTCAGATGCCCAACACATATTTGGAGCCAGACACACCCGTTCGTATCCCTCTGTGTCCTTGACTGGCTCTGCCATTTTGGACAAGTGATTTAAACTCCAGCGGGCCTCCATTTCCTTATCTTTAAACTTGGGGCACCCAAAGAGGACTCCCATGTGTCCTCTGATCTCCGTGCACACCCCTACTCTCACCCTCTCTCTCTCTCTCATACACACACACACAAAATAAAAAGAAATCTATCATGTCAATACCATAAAAGTCTTACCTCCCAGAAAGTCTGATCATCAAAGTACTTGGCCGCATGGGGCGCCCTCCACACTTTGGCTATTAGGAGACAACCTTAAACAAGAGACAACTAAGTGTGAAGATATGCAGAGCTCCTTTATTACCTCAAGGTCACTGAAATAAACTGGGTGGTGGTGGTACAAACCTTTAATCCCTGCACTGAGGAGGCAGAGGCAGAGTGAGTTCAAGGCCAGCCTGGTCTATAGGGTGAGCTCCAAGACAGCCAGGGCTATACACAGAGAAACAATGTCTTGAAAAACAAACAAACAAAAAGCCAGATGGCAGTAGTCCACCCTTTTAATCCCAGCACTTGAGAGGAAGAAGCAAGCAGATCTCTGTGAGTTTGAGACCAGCTTGGTGTACAAAGTGAGTTCCAGGACAGCTTGGGCTGAAAAGCCCTGAAGAAAGAAGGAAAGGAAAGGAAAAGGAAAGGAAAGGAGGAAGGAAGGAAGGAAGGAAGGAAGGAAGGAAGGAAGGAAGGAAGGAAGGAAGGAAGGA